AAGAGAGAATGAAGGCCCAGAGGCGCTGTAACAAGCCCAGAGCTCTCTCTTTCCAGAGAGAAATATACTGAAGCATTGTAGCATGAGGAAAGAGACCAGAGACCTAGATGGCCAGCCTCAGGCATAGCCAGCTCGAAAGGCTGCCAGATTCGAGCGTCCTTAAGGAGGCTGACCGGGTCTTGCAAGTTCCAAGGAATTGTCCATGGGACACGATTGAAGAGGAGGATGAGCAAAATGAATCAGCTGTCGATTTCATTCCTCCGGTTGAGCCTATGAGTTATGGCTAAATGGTCGAAGGAGGAGGAAGAGATTGCACGCCAACCATGTCCGTTGTCGGCCCATCAAATGAAATGCTTCCGTTTGGATCAATCTCCTTTGGGTCCAGTCTTTTGTATTCGAACGGAACATGTCATGGAAAATGCGGTTCCCTTTTGCGGCGTTTGTCTGCCTCTGACTTCCACCACTCCAAGGCACTGGACGGCGGGATCCGTGCCCTATACCCAGTCAGAGGTTCAGAAGATCTTCTTGACGCTTTTTGTGCTCTCTATCATATCCAGTATACCCCGGGCCACAGGAGCCAACGAAGCACGACTGAAATGGCAAATCCCACAGCTGGGAACTCAAAGGGACACAAGCGTCGGCAGGAAGTGAGTTTTACTCTCTGCTATCCAAGGTAAACTCTGATTGAAAGTCCTCCTTATCTGTAGTCACTGTCCAAGTGCAAATCGTTGCCTTCGCTTCAGCTTTCAGCCGACCCCTCTACTAGCTTTACGTGTCCAAGATGCGGACTGACAAGTTCCCTCATGGTCGTATGTACGCGGTGCTATCAACGCAACGACGTCGAAGGCGACGATCCCACTGCTGGGAAAGAGCCCCTCAGTTGGAAGCTTCTCTCAGAGAATGCCGCTGAAAACGGGTATGTTGAATCCCACAACCCAGCATCGCAGCAAAGGTCGAGGCCGGTTGCTGAACAACTGGGTCATGCCGACGGTTCAAAAGGGCCAACATCCCAGTTTGAGGCTCCCCTTATCGCCCCTTTGCGATTTTCAACAAGCTTTGACGAGCCTCTGGTGGATCCTTTGAGTTGGATCAGTGAGCGCTCGACAGGGTCGGATTTGGTGCCCAGTCAGGACGAGCCAAAGTTGGTTGAACGAGACTCGGGGCGCGACAGCTTACAGGGCGCGTCAACGTTGCAGTCTAACCTTGAATCGTCCCATCGCGAGGACGACGAGCTTAATCCCTCAGTTGTCATGGTATGTTCTCGTTTAAACTACTAATACGGGATCAACCAGCTTATTCACTTTAATAGGCCCCCTCAACCGTAGTGTTGGCATATACCCAAGCGCATTCTAGCGCATCAGCGGTCTCCCTCGTCTCTGGAGCAGGCTCCTGTCTACCGCATTCGTCACGCTCTTCTATGTCTTCCTCTTCACGCCAGCTACGACTTCGTTCAAAATCTCTGTTTTCACTCAAGCACCGATCGTCGACTGCCCCTTCCCAGCCGGATGTCAACCGTACATCTACCTCCATCTCCAGCACAAATTCATCGTCCACTGCTACCATGTTCGTAGCCGCAAGAGCACTTACAAAGCGGCTCTCTTTCGCCACTCTTCGCTGTGGCGAACCCACCTCTGGGGCTTCTAAAGAGCAACCCCCAATGCTTTCCGAATCCAAACCGAGCAAACTTTCGCTCTTCCACGGTCAAGAAGACGCTGTCGACCACTTCTCTGGCTTATCTGATAGAGAGGACGATGGAAAGAATCGCACACTTCGGCGAAAGAAGAGACTCGATAGGCCTCCTCTCCCCCAAATTCCAGCCACTCCAGCCTACGATGCTACCTTTGGCGAAGACATGCTCAGCCCGCCTGAATCCGCACCCGAATCCTCAGACTCAAGTGTCCGGCTCGCTTCGACAGAGTCAGAGAAGTTGAAGGCCATGGGCGTCAAATTTGCGCTTGGAACAGAGTCACACTCAGGCTCTTCACTCCCCAAACAGGACGCCCCCGACAAAGGGAAAGGTGTAGACAGGATTGAACAGCCCATGCGAACAGCCCCAGCTGTCCATGTTACAAAGCCTTCAGTTGATAACCGAAGCACAGAAGAAGTGAAGCAACCTCCTGCCCCCGTTGGCATCTTGAAGCGCCCCTCTCCAACTTCTTCCATCAATTCATCTTCCTCGACGGTGCCACCTTCGCAGCCTGTACCTCTGACAACCTTGCCGAAAGCACAGACCTACACCGGTCCTCGTATTGGCACACCCAGTCGACCGTACTACAGTGTCATTCGAAAGAATTGCATGTCTGCTCCTGCACCAACCCCATACAAACCCGCCACGCCTGACCTCGTCTACATACCCACCGTCTCGACCACTTCTTCCCGCCCTCCCCCATCCTCCTTCATAATGCCCGACTCCAACCCATCAGCGTTCAACCGAAGACCTCTTTCCCTTGGCGCCTACCCCATGTCTGCTCCTGCTATTAGCAGTGTCATTGCTGGTTCCCATACCATGAGCCAGGGCATCGATGTCTTCAATGTCGACTTTGAATTCGACAGCGACGAGGAGGAAGCTGCAAAGGCCAAGCAAAATGCAAGGAAATCGAGCAGTCTCTCGAGGGCGTTTGGCAGGAAAAAGAGGCGAACGTGGTCGTCGGGCAGCCAAGATACCCCTCCTCCTCCACCTCCTTCCAGCTTCTTCGCCAAAAGTGAAGACTCGAAGAGGAGGCACAGCCAGGGTGCCTACAGTTCGAACCCTCCTCCCCCAATGATGGGTATCTCGATGAGCGGGGAGATCGAACTGAGGATGAGTCTGGCAGCGATGGAGCAGCGTGAGAGGGCTCAGAGACGGGAGCAGCAGCAAAGGGATGGGGTTGTGAACCCTGTCCCTGAGCCGCCACCGAAGTATAGCTTCAAGCCACGGCCCTCGACCAATACTCCTGCATCTCCTGAACGCCAAGGGACACCTTCCAGCTCTGCGTCTAGCTCTGGCATGTTCGCCCGGGTGAAAAAGTTCAGGAAGGGGATCATGAAGGGAATTCTGGGTTAGTTGATCGTTCTGCGTTTGACTACAATGGCCCAACCAACCTCCAACGTTATGCTCCATATCTTTTCTCCATTTCTCTCTCACCGGTTCTTGCCAATACCCCATATGCTATCGTCATTGCTTTCCCTTGCATCTTCAACACTCCTTTCTCCTTCACGAACCAACTATGCATTCACGATCGTTCACGTTTTCCACTTCCCCACTTGTATATTCTAATCTTATTTCTGGGCTTCCTCTGGTCGTTCGGTCTTTTCTACCACTTTGGACATACACTCCGCTCAGAACATTTCTCTCCACTCCTTCTAGCCACTTGAACTTGCGTTCGCACATACCTTCTGTGTTTTCGGCTTTCGACTTTACCCTAGTCTAGCACATTCGTATTCGGATCGGATTCTCTAAATTCGTTCTTGCACATTCATTTTCGTAGTACTGTACTTTTTAGATAGTTCAGCAGTATTGCCCAGGTAGGTCTTTCGCGTTCACTGAAATAAAATCCATTTTCCCGCTTGTTTCTTAGAAAAGGCGCATCAACCGAGCCCCTATCTCCTGAGACTCTGCGTCATGCAGCTTGGCCGAACACGCGATTCACAGCTCTCACCGCGACCACGAACCCTGATCTGAATCTTGCTGTCGGCCGCTGTGCTACGCTCCCCAAAGCCTCTCAATCTATCACTAAGGCTCTCATAATGCTCGGTAATCACATAATCCTCCAGAGTGACTGATATATTCACCCACTTGCGTCTCAGTTATTGGCCTCACCGGCGGAATAGCCACAGGCAAATCCACTGTATCAACCCTTCTAAAGGCACATAAGGTGCCTGTTGTCGACGCAGACATCATCGCTCGCCAGATTGTCGAACCTGGTACCCCAGCTCTCGCCAAGATCGCGTCCGTCTTTGGCTCAGAGGTCCTCCAACCCGACGGCACGCTAGACCGGAAGAAGCTAGGCTCTATCATCTTCAACGATGAAGCCAAGCGGAGACAGCTTAATGGGATCATGCACCCTGCTGTGAGAAAGGCCATGTTCTGGGAGGTGGTGGGATATTGGATACGAGGCTACAAGTACTGCGTAATGGACATACCATTGCTCATCGAGGGACCGATGTGGAAGATGGTTGGGAAGGTAGTAGTGGTTTACTGGTACGTCTCCCGAAAGTAGAGCCCTCTTGCGTCTGGATACTGACTGCTCTTTAGCTCTGAAGAGCTGCAGCTGCAACGCCTCATGCAACGCGATGCTTCAACTCGTGACGATGCAATGTCCAGGTTACGCTCTCAAATACCTATCGGAGAGAAGGTGGCCTATGCGGACATTGTGCTGGACAATTCGGGAACGCGTTCAGACATGGAGTCTCAGGTCAATGCATTCGTTCAACGTCTCGAGCGAGAGGCTGGTTGGACCTGGCGAATCAGCTGGCTCTGTCCTCCTCTAGGCATCCTTTCTGCTGGTTCGATACTCTGCTGGAGATTTCTGACAAAAGGAAAGGGAGGCAAAAAGAAGAGGAGTTGAGGAAGTGTACACTGTATAGTGGTGGATATTGAGTAATTCCAGTGCCGTGTTTGATTTCGACAAAAACGAAGTAGCCCACCGCGAGGGTCGAACTCGCAGCCTTCAGATGCCCGTGAGCCGAAGCTCTTAAAAGTCTGACGCTCTATCCGATTGAGCTAGGCGGGCATGTACAACCAGGTATCTTTGCCCACTATGTGACGCTTGTTACCAACCGAAAATTTTCACCATCAGCGGGCGTCTAACGTGCAAGCGCTCGCCGCAGGGCATTTGACTCGAGTGCTCAACTTCGGAGCATTCGCAGACCGAATAGCTGCCTCCCTTGAAACTGACTCGTGAAAGTATGGATAAAGCTTTTACACTTCATCGGTGTAATGGCTGCCGGTAAAACGTTGCGGGTGTGTCGTTGACTTATCCTCATGCAGAGGAGAAAAAGAAAATTGATCTATCCCTCATAGCCCACCGCGAGGGTCGAACTCGCAGCCTTCAGATTTATAACTTGTGAGGGACGATCCCACCCAGACGTTAAGAGTCTGACGCTCTATCCGATTGAGCTAGGCGGGCACATGATCCTGAAGACGAGAGAGTATTTTCCGGATGCATCCACTAGATATTCCTCCTCGTGAAGAGAATTGAAGAGGGACGAGCGTTTAACGGCTACCTAGCCATCCTCGGTATGACGGCGTGCGGTTCAAGATGCGGTCTACCATTGTTTGAAATCGGCACAAGAAGTACAGAAAGCGGTGACGGATAATTGTTAATTTTACAGGATTCGCATTCGCGTTTGATTCGTGTTTCGTTGCACTTGGGATGGATAGGCCACTGAGATTTCCGCCTTTCTTGCCTCTGCAGCCCGAAGCACTGCCAGTGAGTCTTCATGTGGTTATAACCCATGGAATCGCCAGTGGTGTCACAGAGGTAGGGCGTTGACTCAGACGCACAGACTCGGGCATCGAATTCCTGCCAGTGCTGGTTCCTAGTCCGTACTGGTAGAATAACTGAGGCCCACAGGGAGCAATCGACCGTGCTCGACTCGGAGTGGATGTCGGAACCAAGGGCGGCGATGGTTGAGCAGTCAGAGGAGCTTCTGGGTTGCTGGACGGCGGACTTGCAGCCGATTGGGCCCTCGATGGCGAAGGATTGACGTCGTGAAAGGCTCTCGTTTCGGGGCCGCTGTGATTCCGAGTCAACTCGGCACTCGGTGGCAAAGAATTGCCATCGTTAAAGACTGCCATTTCGACAGAGCTGCCAGTGTGTCCCTGACTCGCCTTGACCAACTCAATGATGCCCTCTTTTCCGACCCTAAAGTCCAGTGCTTCAGTTGCCATATTCCACAACCGCAGCGAGACTCCCATTGGGGCCCAATTCCAATGCGAAGGTAAGGCATCGTTGTGGGGTAAGAACTTGGCAGGGAAGTCGTTTCTGAGGCTGGTGGGTAGAGCATCAAGGATGTAAGGAGAGGTGCTTGGGAAGATCGTTGCCGGGCGACACAGAGCGCTCCTACAGACATATTGGCAAGCGATGACATAGTATGGCTGCTCAAGGTCGAATATCTTCGCTGGTCCAGATTCGATGGGACCCGTGCTTTGTAGAGGCTCGGCGCAGTAAGGGCATCGAATTCCGCCAGGGACAATTGGCAAAGGATCCCAGTACAGGAATCTACACGCCGAGAGAACCAGATCGTTTGATACCATGGAAATATAGGGTGCAGCAGAAGGCATCCAGAATGTTTGGAGCGCGTTGTAGAGGGCCGGAATAGGAGCTGTTGGCGGCAGGGTGCGTAGATGAGCCTTGAACGCCTCTTCACGGGTAACTTCCCCTATTGTTGAGTCCGACCCTGAATCTTCAAGGGCTTTGTCCAGGGCTTCAACAAGGGCACCGAGTAGGCTATTAGGATCCGTGTACTTCAGATTCAGCCAGTCTTCTCCCTTATGATAGCGTGGCTTGAGGCTTGAGGCCGATGGGAGGACCATTGATGACTGGAGCTGCGTCAGATGCCGACACAGACGTAGCAAGAGGCTACTGACCTTCCTCCTCCCTCGCTGGCTGGTTGTCGACAGCCCAAATACCCCAGCGGGTGGGCCTTCCCTCCTCGGCCGCCCTACAGGGCGCTTAACCTTGGGTGGGGTATCCCCAATAGCCGTCCCAGCCGTCCCAGGTGCCCCGGCCTTCCCAGCTTTCCCAGCCTTCCTACTTCCCTTTGGACGCCCACGACGCCTTTTCTCAGTGGTGTTGGGCCCAATATCATTGAGAGGGAGTTGCGCGCCGTCTCCCATCCCCGAAGTTCCGTTGTTCATAGCAAACTTCGTGAAAGACAAGGTTATTGAATGAAGTGGGTAGTGAACGCCGTGCACTGAAGAGCCAAATCCGGAGTAAGATAGGGAGCTCGAATCGTAATCACCGAAGCCCTAGGCAGCGAAGAATACGAAGTCAAGCTGCCGAAGGCCGAGTCGCGTTTAGAATCAGACAGGTTTCCTCTGACTTCTGACGTACTTGTTGGGCCTCAGGAACTTCTAAGTGCAATGGGGATCTTGGCTTTCGAGCTGCATGTTTTGTGTTGTAAGTATTCACGTCAAGGAGCCCAGCGATTGGGGCAAAACATTCCTCCAGAAAACGAAGTAGCCCACCGCGAGGGTCGAACTCGCAGCCTTCAGATGCCCGTGAGCTCAAAGCTCGTAAAAGTCTGACGCTCTATCCGATTGAGCTAGGCGGGCATACTTCGGAGAAAGAATATAGCGTATAGGAATGATCTAGAACATGCTGGCTAGATATCCACAGACATCTTTAGGACGTATGACCTTGTACGGCCTCCGATGTCAAAGCTACGACTGGAGCCTAAAACCAAAATGTTGTTATTGTGCGCAGCTCTGTTTTGGTTTTTGTAAACTTGAGCCATGCCTAATGCGTAGTGTTAGGGAAGGCTGCATCCAGGGAAACTGAAGCGGTGAGGTAGACCCTGGTGTATCCATAAAACCTATATAACAATCGGTCAACAACCGCGTTCTTCAGGTTCAGCAGGGGACTCACACTAAACCACCCTCCTCCTACGCCACTGCCCCTCATATTACTTCCATCCACCCTTCAGGCCTACGGTGACGCCTTGGCTGCATCCCCGACATTCGCCACACCTACAGGCTTCCCACTCTTCTCAGAGACGCGTCGTTGGGCGTTGAGCCACGAAGGTGTTGTACGGCCTCGTCCTAACCCAGATTGAGCTCCTTCGGTGAGGGTTTGGTGGGCATCGGCGGAACGGGAGACCTGGAAGGGACGTGAGTGGGATTGAAGGCAAAGAAGAAAGGGCAAGGAGAGGGGAGGGGGGGAACGGGAAGGAAACCCACCTTCAAGAAATGCTCGGGCGTCAACCCTCCAGCCGACCTAAACCTACCAAACGGCATTCTCTCCTCTGTCTTTGTGAGATTCACTTTGACAGAAACATAAGGTTTGAGCTACATTATCCAAAGACCACAACAGCATCCCATGTTAGAATTTCGCTACTCGCAGCAAAGGAGGATGGAAACTCACCGGTGAGCTGACAATCTGCTCAATAGGCGGAGCGACGTACACCCTGACTTTCTCGTCTACGAGTCGGTATTTTGCACGTCCACCAACGACGTGTTTACCGGGTGCACCAGTACGGTGACCACCTGGTAGGAAGGCTTGTCTTGTGCCTGGTTATCAGACGTCCATGGAAGGAGTTGCCATGGGTGATCATGATCAGGTTGGGACAGTGGTTCAAGGACAATTGTAGTTTGAGGCATTTCATCGTCTAATGAGCACACCATATGACGGCCAAAGGTATTTAACAAACACACCCTTGTAATAATCCTTGTTGGCCTTCTTCCCCGTCAACGGGGCTCGCGAAGCTTTCGAGCACCTAGCAGCAGTTGCGAACATCCTCGCTCTTTCCTTCTATATAGCCTACTTGTCTTGGTAGTCTATAGTTGAGCCTTGAGTCGAGAAGGAAAGGAACGACGAGGATACGGAATGGAATAGACCAGCAAGCTCTGTGACGCGACAAGCTGAAGCAGAATTCCCACACGGAATCAGGGACGGATCACAGGCGATGATAATTAATGTTGAGCGCTGCTCTCCTGTACTAGAGGTACAGATGGATACTAAATATTTATACATAGTTTAAAGACAACAATTAAGCCAATAATAAAATAGAAGTACAAAGGCAATCCTAAGCCCTACTTTCCAATTCCAAACCAGCCCTTCTTCACCTTGCTCTCTTCCTTGACGGGAGAGGGACTGGGCCAATCTTGCGATGGTTTTCTTTGACGCCGGGGTGAGTACTCACCAGACCCAGACCCACCGCTCTCGCTCGAAATCGTCGATACGGTAGCTTGGTATGTCTGGATGTTTCTCAGCTCAGTGTTGACCTCGTCCGAGCTGCTCAGATTCACGCTCTCCCGTAACGCCTTCAGACCTGCTACCTCCGTGCTTCGGACAGCGTAATGTCGAGTGAAGAGGTCGTTCTGAATCCAGACGACCTTTTGGAATGCACGCATGATGTCTATCCGCCTTGAAAGAGGGTACTCGGCGTAGGATAGAATGACGGGTGTTAGGACGTCAAGCGTCCAAGCTAGACACAGGTTAGTTGGTTATCAGCGAAGATAGCCTGGCTGGGCGCACCGAGAAGCAGAGAGAGATGCATAAGATCAACATATAGAGGGGCCTTTCCCATGAGCCTCCTATGTTTAAGTTCATTCTGCCCGGTGTGCATGATGCCAATCTGGTCTGGTGTAGCAAGTGAGACGGTATACAGATTAGCGCACCAAGGATAGAACGCACCGAAGTACTGCCATGTTGCAAAGTCATTGTAATCGGACGTCACCAGCTTCCTCATATACACCGCGAAGGTCTTCTTCCGCATCTCGATTTGGGGAGCATCCAACGCCAAATCATGCAAGTCGCTCATCATCCTCCCTTCCTCTCCACCCTTCCTCGGCATGAAGACCTGCTTCGTGACATCGAATTTGAATAGTTGGTGGTAGACGTTATCAACGAGCTGATCGACGAGGGGAAGGAGGATTGGCTGGAATTCGTTCAGAGCCTCCACATCTTGCTCTGTGAAGCTGACAAAGTGGGTGAGGTACCGCACGCGCTCGCGGAGGTCCTTGTAGATGGCATCCTCGTCGAATTCGTCGTAGGGAGGATTCAGGTCGCCAGTGACGTCTGGCAGACCTACTGGGTGTATATCTCCTCCACTAAGATACGAAATCGCCGGTGACTTGGACAAGGAGCGACCGAGAAGGGAGCGAGCTCCAGGTGAGCGCTTGCGTGGGATTGGACATGGATTCGATGAAGGGGCTGCCTGTTGCTGGCTGCTCATTGGGCATCCGTCCATGTTGTTGATACGAGAGGGGGCGGGGAATTGCGAGAACATGTAGAGAATTGCCTGCTGATTTTTTTGTTATGTATCGCTGTAGGACATTGGGCTCATATAGCCGCTGGCGATAGGGCCTCGGGTGTGCTTGGCACAATCCAGTATGGCCTGGACCGCCCAAAACGGCATTGGACCTCCTTAAAAAATGAGTCGCAAGCAGTGCGCCCTATGACACGGCTGTAAGCTTAGGCACCATTGGGGTCTTTGTGTGGCCCTAGATCGTTATTGAACTTGAAACCTCCTACTTGTTCCTGGTGCCGGATCGGCTCCGGGGGGGTTATAGTTGCTCTGCAGCATTAGCGACGCGGTCAGGGAGCTAATGGCTGCCTGGCCTTTCCGGTAACTTAGCTCTTCGATTTTCCTGCTCCCTGGCCATGAAAGGCTCTGACAGCAAAGTCACTGTTTTGGTGGTACCTCAAGCAAAGCCGTGCTCCTCCGCTCGCGGAAAGGTCAGCCTAGCAACATCGGGCGATTAAGGGTCTCAACTTGTGCTATGTTCCGTGAGGATTAGAATCTGAATAGTAATGACATCTGCCATGTCTAGCAAAAATTTCCTGAGCGCCGTTCCGTCAGCTCAAACTCGCCAGGCAACGGCCCTGCTTGACGTTGCAACAAGAAGACCGTTGAGTGAGATATCAAGTGCCAGCGGTTTTCATGTGCATGGAGAATCGACGGACAGCGAACTAGTAGTTTCCGGGGCACTGGGAAACGAGGGCGTGAGAACAGAACGTTCAAGTCAGGGCGGGGCTTGGGGAGGTGGGAGGTGTCCCCAACAATCCGGCTCACGCAGTCACATTCCCACGGCTGAAGGTTGAGATTGAATTCCAATCCAAGTTTATTGAAACAAAAGCACTATTATGGTTTATCTGGGATTCATTGTTCCAAAAATTCCCTTGGAAGTTGGAGAGCCACCCTCACGGTTCTTGGGACTTCGAAGATTCAGAAAACAGGGGCTAATTAACAGTGTGACTGATCCCATCACGCCTGACCTGAACGCGTTGGTTTTAGCGTCACACGCCTCTTTGCCCGCGACTTGCTACTCGCTTCTACCAACCGCCGCGCATAATGTACAGTGCGCCACATCTTCCAGACGAAATCGTCAAGGAAATCTTGTCCCCAGCGCTGCTGGTTCCTGACGAGGCCTTCGCCAGTACATCATGGAAGTCGCCGTTCGCAAACTACCAGCTTACAAGTTCAACGATCCTTGTCGTGTGCAAAGATTGGTTACGCGTCGCAACACCTTTGCTGTACGAAACCGTCATCTTGAGGTCCAAAGCTCAGGCGCAAGCTCTGGCGGCTGCCGTGAAGAACGACGCGCAGCTCGGCACATTTATCAAGAAAGTCAGGCTTGAGGGCGGCTATGGCAACTCAGTTTACGAGATATTCAAGCGTAGCCCGAACATTCGCCATCTCTGGCAAAAGGGAGGTCTAGCTTCAAGCGAGAGTGTCGCGGGATATGCCAAGGCGTTCAATTCGGTCTCTCTTGAGGCACTCATCATTGTGGATGGTTCTGGACGTTCCACTGGCAAGATCAACGACAGCCTTTATGAAGCGATTGCACAAGCAATCAAAGGGAATTGGCGAGATCTGGTAAGCACACATATACATCCCCCTTGATTTCAGCTTTTAAGGACCATGTTCGCTTCTCTAGAGCTTCGTAAGCTTGTCCCACTCCAGCTGGTATCGTCGGGCAGGAATGGACGCAGTCATGGAAGCTTGCAGTACTCTGAGCAAGCTCAAGGTTGTCAGGTTTGACCAGAACCAAGTGTCTTCCGGAGCTCTCAAGATGATGCAGAAAGACAACGTACAAGAGATACAAATAATCTCGCGCCTCCCAAAGCCTGCCTTTGAAAAGCTGCGAATCGTCCCTACATTTTGGAACGGCACCAAGACGCTCGAAACGGTCATGAAAGAGAATAAATCTGTCTACAGAAAGGCTGTATATCAACTGTGCGTATCACATCCTACCCCTTGTGTCGTAGACTCCCGCTGAGACCCAGACATCAGTCCCGATACCCCTGCCCCGCCGGCAGGGGTGGCGTTACCTGCCATCGTACAGGCCACCGCCGTCACCCTTTCCGCAAACCCTTCTTGGAAGCCTCTTGCAAACTCAAACGCCAATGACCAGGCTCGGATATGGACCCTCATTCTCCGCGAAGCAATGATGTTGGATGACGACTTTGGACTACCCAACCTTCCGTTCGACCGTCCAGTAACTTACTTCATTGCAGAAACATGGAGGGAGTACATATCAAACCTCCCGATCGTCTCAAAAGCATTCAATGTGAGTACTCTCAACCCTTCGTACATCCTCGCTAATGCTCC